ATGTTCTAATTGGGATACTACTGGCGCTCTGGCGCTTGATCATCACAGCCCTGTTCAACATTGTTCACCTGGGACGAATGGATATCAGTCTTCTTAACCGCAACGTGGAGTCATTTGACCCAGGTAAGCCAAATTTTTGACATTCTGTGTAGACAGTGCTGAACACAGCAACCTTACCTCTCTCTGGTTAGTGTCATCTAACATTGTATATTAATATAATGATTAACTTGTACTATGGCTATTCCTTCTACAAAAATACTTATGAGTCCATTACATAAATACCACTGCATTTTTTTTTACTCTGGCTGAAAGCTTAACAAGAAGCATTTTAATTTGAGCAAATGCATTCTCACTGATCTCACTTAGATGCCAGAAATGCGTATCCGGTCCATATTACCCTGCTAGCAGCTCACTGCAGCTCCTATGATATCTGTATTCTGTGCAGTGCAAGGGTCTCCAATTGCACGCCAATCTCTGAAATGACTGCAGATTTGAAACATCTGTCGTCAGAAAAAGCAGGTGGTTTAAAAAAAGAAAGAGGTGTGATTGTACATCCATTATGTGTGATTGCCTCAAAGCCAACATGGGGTGCAGTCCTATGTGTTTATTGCTTCTGCCCAGTCAGAGTGATGCCCCCTCCCTATGTCTGTCTGCAGCCTACCGTTGCTATGCTCATTATCTGAAGATTGAGGTGAACCAGTCTCACCCTGTGATGAAGGCCTTCTGCGGGATGCTGCTGCAGTCTGTGGGCCAGGAGAGCAACGCATCACAAAGGTCACGGGATGCTGAAGAGGGTCTGTAGCACAGAACTCAGTCTACATCATAGATTGCACGCTCATTAATTTAAAGTGTTCGGATGATTCAGCTCACACTAGTGCACAATGACTTGGTGATGTGGGTTCACTGTTTTCATCAAATTTAAGGGATAAGGCTGGTGTTGTTCTTATTGTCAGCAAATCCCATCAAAGGTCCATAACCATGGGTGGTAGTCAATCCTGCTTGTGGTACATAACTTCAAGCACTTTCATTTTCACTGCAGATGTAAATCTTTAAACCATGATCATGTGTATATAGTTTATTTTAACAAATAGAGCATTTGTCAGCCATTGATTATAGCAATGAAAGATCATGTGATCCATTGCAACAGTGTGGCTCACTATCATGTTCTTGTTGTTTCTGGACAACACTAGATGTGGTACCTTTCAGTTTCTCCAGAGAGGTGTACAACCCAGTAACAGGTCATTGTAACACATAATCAGATCATAACACGCTCTTGCATGCACAAAAGAAATGAAAGCTTAGCCATTCTAATTTAATATGTCAAGACCAAATTGAGCCTCACCGTGGAATAATTTACAGTCCTGCTGCTGCTGGTTTTAATCAAATTTGTCACAAACTAATGCCCACACTAGCTGGAGTCCTGTTTCAATGCATTCCTATAGCTCCCCATTATACATGTTAATTAACTCAAACAAGTGAAACCATTGTTTTATTTATATACAGGAATTCTCCCAAAACTTTGCTGAGGCTGGCTGCTGATCTGCAGTTGTAGTATTGACTCAAACAGGAGATGAGTTGGTCGCCTACACGTGCGGTGACAAGTGGACGTTCATTATAAAGGAAAATTAGCAGGAAAATGCATCACTGGTTATTATCTAGTATCTAGTCACACCTGAGAACAATTACAAATGTGCAGTGGAGATGTTGCTTGTTTGCATCTAAAGAACAATGCATTATCAGTAATCATCTATTGTATTACAACGATTAATTCTTGAGTAGCTGATTACACAGATGAGCTACGCTAATTGCCTGTTTCATATTCATGTAGCCCGAGGGGCTTAAGCTTTCAATATGTTAATGACAAGCTCAACCATGCTTAGAGGATTACAATATGATTGCTTTCTATTCTTATTCTTTCTGTAGTAGCTAGCTGCTCCTGGGAGGCTTTCAGAGGGGTTCTTTCCCATTTCAGTTAAGATAAAAAAAAAGATTATTTATTCTTGAGACTAAATAGTTGTGTATATGCAACATACCTTTGGTGTTATGATGTCTGAATATCCGCAGGGATCCAGCTGGTCCACCAGGAGAAGAAACAACACAAAGTGTCCAGTGCCAAGAGGGCCCGCGGGCACTGGCAACTCGTCTACACCCTGGTCAACAACCCTTCCCTGGTGAGCACCAGGAAGCACTTCCAGCATCAGGGTGCAGAGAGCTTTCTGAATGGAAGCCTCAAATGGAGCACCAAGGAGGGGAACAAAAAGGAGACGGTGACCAAGGAGGTAGAGGCTGCTGGCAGCAACTGAATATGAATGTGCCCCTGAATAAGGATCTGCTGCAAAGTCTGTCTCGTTTTGGGCAGAATCTACTGTCATATTATGTGTTCATACATAGAAGTGTCTGTATTTGGTGAAATAAGTGCACTTATAGCTCAGTTTCTCATGTAGATATTTTGTTTTTCTGAAAATTGGGTTTACTTTGTGGTCTCTATGTTCCCCTATTTTAAAAGACATTTTTATAATTTTTTTAAACGTGTGAGAGCAATGTGAGAGAGGTCCATGTGAAAGCTAAAGGTACTGATGTTCCATCTAAACACATTCATGTCATTTTCAGCAGGTTTATGTGCTGGGATAGCACTGTTTGCATTATGCCTCAACCTGGTTAATCACATAAGTGTTATTATTATATAGGCTAGTGCAGATAATGTACATTCATAGTTTTCCAAACTAAACTAGTGGATGTGAAACCCACTACCCATTCAAATAGGATATTTGTACGTAGATCTTTTCACTATTTATGAATTTTAAAAATGAACTGTTTTCATAAACAATGTCATATATTTTCTTTTTTCAGCTGTAGCCTACACATTTTGTGTAATTAATTGTACAAAACTGCCAAACAAATTAAACTGTATTTTCTTTCTTTTAAAAATACAAACTAACAAACTCCAAACCCACTTGCTGCTACCAGCGTTTTCTTGTTGCTGTCTAAAATCTCCTCTGCTTTCTGACGTTTAACATCATTGCACTGATATTTAAAATGACTTTTAAGTGAAAATATTTACACCGAATTTTCCTTCTGATTATTGTCAAAATAAAACTAAAGCAAACTGTTTCCCCCTTTTTATCGTT